GGAAAAAAAAAAAAAAAAATGTGGGTCCTTTGGGTGAAGATACTTCCAGTATTGATCTGTCCCCAAAATGGATGTTTATGGCACAGATATTTAACACAAAATGCTATTAGATATCCTCCCTGACTACAGTAACTGAAAGTTTTATTAACAATTTCACATCCATTGTTATGTGGGACATAAATGGACCTTGAAAAGTTTAACTTCTGTTATGAAATGAATTACTTTCTTGGTTTTTAGTATTTTATTTGATTTTTTTTTGGCGGCTGGCCAGTATGGGGCTCTAAAAGTATTTTAGTTTTTAAATCACTTTAAATCTTTAAATCACTTCAGCTTTCACTGGAGAGCTATAAAATCCAGTCTTTTCATAGGGGAAAAAAATCAGGGAAGTCTCGAGCTGAGAGATGTTACAAGAAAGGTGAGAAAACAAGGGGGCTGCCTACCTACCTTAGTCTCATGGTTTCTTCAGCCATGGCTGGGAAGACCAAGAGAAAAACTAAAAGCCAAGAAATCAAAGCATTCCCACACTTGCAGCTATTTATGGCTTATGACAGTTTAAATTTATGATGCTTTATAGCATTAAAATGTGACTTCTATCAAACAAGGTGGTCATCATAAAAATCAAGTTAAACCACCTTAATTTCTTTTTGGAAAAAGGTGTTACATAAATGTTTTTCAATAAATAAAGAATTATTAAGCCAGTAGACTACTTCTTTAGCTGTTTATATAAGCCAGTGAAGCTCTTCCCTGGTTCTTATCCTCAGCATGACACCATGACTCACCCTCTGGTACAGTCCCCCACTCTTGCACCTCCCACAGAGATACAGGCTGGCATGGGGATTCTTAGCCCTGGTCATTACCAAGAAAACTCTGATTTCAACTTACAGCAGAAATGACAACTTTAACTCAAAAATCTGTTTTCCATAGGGAAATTTAAAACTAAAATAGAAGGATAGAAGAGCAGACTTCTCTAAATCGATTTTTCAGAGTTCATCAGAATGACCCTCAGTCTCCTCCAAGACTCTTCTCAAAGTGATCGTAGGATTCATTTGATGAAAATAATGCAAGGATTGCTAAAAGAATAACAACATGATATTATTGTATCCTATCACATTATTTCTCAAATGATGGTACATAAGATTTTAGGTGATATACCAATGAATATTTTTAATTTCAAAAGTTATATACTTATTTTGAAGAAAATTAGAGCAAGTGTAATGGCATATAAAACTAAATTATGAGTTTTAGATGCTAAATAATATTTCCTAGGAGAAAGCTAAAAATTCTGAGTCCTTTTAAAAAATATTAAGTTGACTATCAGTAGTTGTGTACAGTATGTGATGGTCAAATCAGGATAGTTAGTTTATTCATCATTACAATATATAATCATTCTTTGTGTGTGTTAACTAGTTTCTCATTTATATGTATGATCATTTATGCTCTAAAAAAGAAAAATAAAAAAATTAAGTAAACACTACATATAGTTAAAAACTGTAAAGGAAGCACACAAATAAGTGAACTTTAAAAAATATTGCTGTTCAGGCTGGCCAGTTAGCTCGGTTGGTTAGAGCATGGTGTTGTAACACCAAGGTCAAGGGTTTGGATGCCTGTCCCAGCCAGCCGTACACACACAAAAAAATGTTCTTTTATGTTTATTTCAAGTTTATGTGACTGCTTACACTACAGCATTGCCTTCTGATTGATCAATGTTTATATGATTTAAAAGCTTTATACCATAAAACTTATAGGTGAATAATTATAGCTTATCACTTACAGGATTTCTGGTCATTTCTTTAAAAATTTTAAAAAGTTTTATATCAGATTTGGAACATGACTCCTAATACAACCCTGTTTATAAAATAAATTATTTTCACTACTTGTAACCTCTCCTGGGATTGTAATATGCAGCTAGCTTAAGGTTATTTGGTTTCTATGAGTTAAAAATTTATGAATGGTTTGAAATTGAATGGGATGAAAAGGTCTGACCAAAAATTTCCTACATTCATATATTCATATGATTTCCCACACCATGAATTATGTGCTTCTGAGTAAGTGAAGGGCAGTGGCTTAAGGTTTTTTCACATTTATATTCACATAATTTCTCCCGAGTATGGATTTTCCTATGTTGATTAAGGTGTGCACTCTGGCTAAAAGCTTTCCCACATTCATTACATTTATAGGGTTTCTCTCCTGTATGAGTTCTTTCATGTTGGTTAAGATGTGACCTCTGGCTGAAGGATTTGCCACAAAAACTACATTCATAAGGTTTCTCTCCAGTATGAAGTCTATGATGCTCAGTAAGGGATGTGATGCGGCTAAAGGCTTTACCACATTGACTACATTTATAGGGCTTCTCTCCAGTATGAATTCTAAGATGTTGAGTAAAGGATGAATGTTGACGGAAGGCTTTCCCACATTCATTGCATATGAAAGGTTTTTCTCCTGTGTGAATTCTCTGATGTTGAATAAGATGTATCCTCTGGCTGAATCTTTTCCCACATTCATCACATTTATAGGGCTTCTCTCCTGTAAGGACTATCTGAGATTGGGTAAGAGATGGGCTGTGTCTGAAGGCCTTTCCACATTCACTGGGTTTCTCTCTAGCATGAATATGGTTAGTAAGAAGAACATGTTGATTGAAGATTTTCCCATACTTCTTATATTCATAGGGATTCTCTCTTACATAGTTTCCCTGATAGTAAATCAAGTCTGAATTATGTCTGATGCTATTTCCTTGTATGTCAGAATTAAGGGGTATTTTAATTGAAGGAATTCTCTGATACATAATAAGGTTGGAATTCAGATTACAGTTTTCTGCAAATGTATTACATTCAAGACTTCTCTCCTGTGTGATCTTTTTGTTGGTGAAAGACACTTGTCCCAAATGTCTCTGCTGGTTTTCTTGGTTAAACTCTAACTGGTAATCAAAATCCCAGAGTCCTCTTAAGATGGAGTACCAGAAACTGTCTCCTGTTAGTCTTTCCATTATCATGTCCTGGGTTTGATTTTCATCAGAAATATTCTGGTTTGGAATTGACTTTTTGATTTCATGTCTGTTCTCCCCATCTAAAAGAAATTCAGAACATACAGATACTTTTGAATATTCTCTATGCTTTGAAAGAGAAATTGTTACATAATAAGTTACTAAATAAAACTGACAGTAATGGTACAAGGCATATATGGCACTGGAAGTTTTCAGATATGGCCATGTAACAAGGGGAAAGACTATAGAAGGATAAGAAACAGTGAGCAGGGGAAAATTATTAAAACATAATCATAAAAAGAAAAGATCATCCAGGAGTATCCATGGCTGCAAGAAAAGGACAGGAGAATAGGAAATATCAGAGAAAGGTCTGTGTTCAGAGGTAAGAGAGGAAGAAGGCAGGTTTGAGTCTAGACCGTCATAAACCTCAGCTGTGTATTATTATGTTGTAATGCCAGCTACTCGTTTATTTAAAAAGTATTTCTTCTTATTTTAAATCTTTTATTTAAAATGATAAAACTAATCCTTGCTTATAGTAACATATTCAAATAATGTAGAAATGCAAAAAGAAAGAACCCCACCTCCTAGAGGTAATCATTGTTAATAGTTTGGAGCCTATCTTGTCAGATTTTCCCTATGTTCACACAAATATATATGTAAACCCATACTTTGAACAAGCGTGACTTATGGATTATGACAAAAACAAAGTTTCATTTTGGTCTCCCACCACTTCTTTAAGCTTAATTCAGTGGGAGTATTATTCCTCTGCTTCTAGATGAAGATTTGAGCAGGTCCTATAGCTTTCTTCTTAATTCTTAGGTTACCTATACTCTTACTGTTTACATTAAGTCACAAGTACAGTATCTACTGTCCTATAGCTTTCTCCTTAATTCTTAGGTTACCTATACTCTTACTGTTTACATTAAGTCACAAGTACAGTATCTACTCAGTAATGAAAATGTTTGTTCATGTATAATAGTCAAAACTCCAAAATTAATTCCTTTCCTTTCCCCTGGGCTTGTTACAGAAAGGGTCATTGCAGTGGATTGAATGGCCCCCCAGTGTCATTGAGGCTTGATCCCACTTTACCTGTTGGAGGTAGGAAATCCTATTATGGTAATTGAAAGGTGGCCCCTCAAAGTGGTGATTAGATTGTGAGAATCCTGCCATAGTGAATTGTTTAATGGTGGTCATGGGTGTGGTTCTGAGGGCTTTAAAAGGAGAGTGCAGGAGGAGCTTGCTCTCTCTACTCCACCATTTCCTGTCATGTGAGACCCCTGCATTGCTGTAAAGACACCACCAAAGAAGACCCACCAGATGTGTTCCTTGGACTTTGGACTTCCCAGCCTCTGAAACTGTGAACAATAAATTTTGTTTCCTTATAAATCACCCAGTTCCAGGTATTTCTGTTACAAGCAACAGAAATTGACTAATATGGTCATGTTCCCCTTCTTCCTCCCTGCTTGCCCCTTCCCCCACTCCACTCTATCCCTGCCTGTCTCTAACACGCCTGTACTCTATCGCTTATTTCCCCACTTAACTACCCCCCTGCTCACTTCTTCCCTCACTTACTCACTGTTATTTAGTTCCTGTCTAATAAGAGTTGAGGGATAGAGGCTCTGTGGAGGGAGGAGAGATTAAGAGAGAGGCCAGTTTTTGAGTGGGTGGGTGGCTTCACATTCTCAACTTGGCAGATGGTTAAAATTAACTCACTTTTGGAACTTTTTTGACTCTTGGGAGGTTCTTGTCAAGATCCCAAACCATGCTGCCTGATCCATGAGAAACACTCATGACACCTCATCCCAACAAACTTGGGTAGTGCAGGACCATCCTAACTCAACAGCTTCTCCTGGCTCACCTACCAAAGCCATTTGTTAGTCAGCTGTTGGGCCTTGGACTTTCTGGTAAAAGTCTAATTTAGCTTTCTCAGGTGTGAGTCACGAACTAGTCCTGGTCTTCCAACCACAGGCAACATTGTTATATCAAAGCTGTTTGAGGGATCTAGATTCCAGATTGAGGCAATGATTACCATGGCTTCAAGGCAGCTTTGAAGAACAAATTTTATGGATGTATCAAAGCGTTTTTAATCAATTCACATTTAGGTTGTTGCTTCTTATTATCACTAACAACATAGCAAGAATAGTTAGCTAGCTGAACATAAATTAGAAATTTTAAAAAGAAAAAAAAAAGTCCAAGTCAGGAAATTCTAAAAAGTGGATCAATATGCTTAAAGATGTACAAAAAGATACAGAACTGACTCTGGGCTAAAATTAAATTATATGTGGACAAATTAAATAATACCGATTAAAATTAAGCTATATGTGATTGAGAAGATTCATTTTAAACAAATCAACTGGACCACTTTAGTTTCAGCCAAAATGCTTTTGTCTTTCCATGGACTTTTGCTCCAGAATGATTAAAATTAAGCTATATGTGATTGAGAAGATTCATTTTAAACAAATCCACTGGACCACTTTAGTTTCAGCCAAAATGCTTTTGTCTTTCCATGGACTTTTGCTCCAGAATGTCTGGAATGACTGGCTGGAACTGTTTTTTACATTCTCTTAGCACCAAAATTGAGCCTGCTAACCTGGCTCCTGGAACCACAGGCCACTTTTGCTGATTTCCTTCCTTCCACATCTAGCCTCTATGAGGGAAACGGGAAAATGCCTGCTGCTGGTTGGCAGACTTGCCGTCCACCAATTCCAGGAGGATTGATTGTGGACTGTATAGCCCTGACCCCTCACTATGGAGAGCCTCTAGGCATTCACAAAGCCATTCCAGTGGTACACCAGGGATGGGATCTAGATTTCAGATTGAGGCAATGATTACCTTGGGCTTCAAGGAAGTTCTGAAGAACAAACTCTAATTTTTTTGCTCCAGGTTGTCAACTAACCTAAGCCCCTTATGTTAGCAGATGTGACTATCAACTGCCCTCAAAAGAGGGTGGGCACTGGGCCGAGCCCGTGGCGCACTCAGGAGAGTGCAGCACTGGGAGCGCAACAGCGCTCCTGCCGTGGGTTCGGATTCTATATAGGGATGACTGGTGTGCTCACAGCGCTCACTGGCTGAGCGTGGTGCGGCCAGTCTCAAAAAGGACAAAAAAAAAGAGGGTGGGCACTGATGAGGATGAACTGCCTCACCAGGCCATGTATGTGAGAGCACGTAGAAGTGCTGTTCACTCATCAACTCTTCGTTTTCTTCCTGGTTTGATGTTACCTGGCTAGAGACCCAATCATTCACTGAAAGCCCTTCCTTGTACTTGTGCCTAAGTCTCCTATCAGATCTTATGCTGCCTAGTCCCAGCCCACAGTTGTCTGGATAATGACACAGTGCTATTTGGGAAGAAAGTGTTTTCAGACATGGAAGCCGAAGAGCTTCACCTGGCCACACTGTGAGAATGATATGCAGTCTAACTTGTGCCCAAGGACCAGGTTGGTGGGTATAATACCTCTGTCACTGCTACAGACTAAGGTCCTCAAGCTTATGGCAGGGGTTCGCCAGGCTTCCATTATTCTTGAAGGGGCTTTAGGGGTCTTGATAAAGAAAAATTGGGCATTTGCATAGATTATTGTAGTCTCAGTGTGGTTACTATTTTTGCCCATTACCTGTCCCCACTGACTCTATAATCCTTGGATCAACTTTAGGGGGTATGGATCTTTAATAAAATTAGATTTCTAGGGCACTTATGGCTCCTTTGTATCTAAGAATGGATGACTTTTGACAGACCCTTGGTTGGTATGAGCATAGTGTAATGAGCATACCACTGGGCAACTTGAACAATATCTTACAGGGCCTTCTGCACCAAGGTGTGCCTCCCCAAGGAGACATCCTGCTCAGCCTCACCCAGTGCCTTTTAAACCTAATTGTTCAGGAAGTAGGATGGAAGGAAATAAGAGAGGGAGGGAGGAATAGGAGGGAGGGAGAAAGAGAAGTAGGGAAAAAGGGAGGCAGGAAAACAAATGTCTTGAAAAAATATCCTTTCTACTTGCAAAGTATTATGATATTTTTAGATCTCTTATTAATTTAAAAAGTATGCTTAACACCAAGGTCAAGGATTTGGATCCCCATATCAGCCAGCCACAAGAAAAAAAAAAAAAAAAAAAAAAAAAAAAACCATGATTTAAGAAAAATCAACTTTTTTTTTTTTCCTTTTTTTGTTAGCTTTTTAAAAACCTTTTGCTTTTGTAATTGGCCATTGTGATTGTCATATAATTCAGTAGGTAGAAACTAAAAAACTGAAACAGAGTAAGCTGAAAAACAATAGAAAATATCAGTTCAACAGACACAGTAATAAGGATAAATATTGTTTGGCAAAATTTTTGTTTCAATTTTACAGATTGTATAAATCATGAGGTTTGCAATCAAAATGCATTTCTTATTGGGAATGGTTGGTCAACAATAATTCAAAACTACTGCTTTAGCAGGGGTTGGCAAGCTTTTTCTGTAAAGGACCATATAGAATATATTTTAGGTTTTGTGGGCCATATTGTCTCTTGTAATTACTCAGTTCTGCTGTTGTAGTGTGAAAGCAGCCACAGACAATATGTAAAGAATCTTTGAGTGAGTGTGGCTGTGTTCCCATAAAACTTTATCTACAAAAACATGAGACTCTAGACTATGTTTTGTTCATTGAAAGAATCTACAATGCCAAATGAATTACCTGGAAAGGAAGCCCCTTGAGTCTAAGACATCTTTGTGTTGACTGGTGGTTCATCTTCTGGCAGCAGTGCATGAGAGTGCTTTCTTCCCCATGGATTTATCAAAAGTGAGTGTTGTCAAACTTGGGCTTTTGCTAATTTGATAGTAGAGAAAAGGGAGTTTGTAGTTTTAACTTGGCATTTCTCTTATCATGAGTGAGACGGAATGTTTTTTCATTTGTTAAAAAGTATTTGGATTCCTTTATCTAAGAACCATTCATATTTGTGTATTTTTAAATTATTGAGTTAGAGGAGTATTCATACATATTAAGGGGAGATTAGCCTTTCTGACATAATTTGCAAGTATTTTCCTCCATTGCTATTTATCTTTCTACTTTATTATTTTACACCATGCAGAATTTTTGGATTTTGCATGTTCAATGTATGAATCTTTTCTTTTATGGCTCTGGATTTTGAATCACAGTCAAAGATTGTGTAAAAGATTTCTCCCATGTTTTTCTTCTAGATCTCTTATAGTTACATGTTTTACATTTAAGAATCTCTGCTGCCTTTGGAGTTTATCTTGGTTTAAGGGGTGAGCTATGGGTCCAATTTTGTCTCTTTCTAGATGGCTACCCATCTTTTCTAAATACCAGTTGTCCAACACCATTTATTAAGACATCCACTTTTCCCATCCTAATTTGAAATATTGCCATTATTTGAAATAATGCCTTATTTCTTAACAACCACAGATGTTTGGGTTTATTTTTGTATTTTCTGTTCTGTTCAGTTGGTCTGATTTGTTTTAATTGATGAAATTTTACTGTATATTTTAAATATCTAGTAGGAATAATCTCCCTTGTTGTTTTTCCTTTTCAGAGTTTTCCTGATTATTTTAGTGTTTTGGATTTTCCATATGAACTTTAGAAGGTGATTATCTAGATCCCTCCAAAATCTTCTAGGCACTTTTTATGGGATTGCATTTATATATACAAGATGGGACACTGCCATCTTGTACATCCATTTATTCAAGCATTTTAAGATTTTTTCCTCATGCAGGTGTTGCACATTTCCTGTTGAAGTTTATCGCTAGGTATCTTATCTTTTCAGTTACTACTAAATGAGTCCTCTTTCATCTTGCTTTCTAACTGGTAGTTGTTTGTGCCTTTTCCTTACTGCACTTCAGCAGTCTCCTCACATGGCTGTTCAATTGTACTCTGAACCTTGCCTGCTGTGCTTAAGAAACTTCCAACTCAGTGTTGCACTCCTTGCCCTGTGAGTGGCTTCATGCCCTTATTCACCTTTTTCCTACTTTCTGAACTAATCTAGATCTCCATTTCTTTTTTTTTTCCCTTTTTGTCTCTTTTATACTGACCGGTAACGGGATCGCAACCCTCGGTGTCACACCCGTACCGGGGACCGGCAACGGGATCACAACCCTCGGTGTTGCGCCCGCACCGCGCTCAGCCAGTGAGCGGGAACCGGTCTCCACATGGGATCCGAACCCTCGGCGGGAGCACCGCCGCACTCCCAAGCGGCGCACTCTCCAGTGCGCCACCGGGCCGGCCCTAGATCTCCATTTCTTTGACACTTCTGTTTTCTAGTTTTTAGTCCTTTTCCTGCCTCATTTTATTTCTTGTCACTTCTTGGACTATGTCAAATCACTTGAATTAACTAATTTATTATTAACTAATAACTTAATTAGTTTACTAATTTATTAATTTTCTCTTTCACAGTTTTCTTCCTTTAGTTCCTTCCACCACCCTAACAGGCCCTCCACCTAGTCTCTTTAAACCCTTTCCAGTGCTAAATATAACATGAGAAATAGCATACCCATGCAAATTAGAAACCACAAGAGTATAGGGCAAGATCTCACTTGGACCTTCAAAGCTGCTTAATAATCCCTTTTCTTGTCTTTGGCCAGCTACCATTGGCCTTAGGAAGTTATACCAAGTGCTCCACAATCCCCTAACTGCTTTCCTAATTCCTTTACAATCAACAGAGGATCTTGCCTCCTAATTTGCCAAGAAAATGGAAGTCACCATGTGTGAACTCCCCCAAATCTTTCACCCACAAACTTATTTACATACACAGTCACCATATCTCCTTCCCTCCAATCCCACTTCCCTTCTCTTCTAGAACCTTGCTCCATCTCTTGTATCTGTTTTCTGTTGACCCTCTCTATTGACTCCTTCACTTCAGCATAATAAACACACTAAAATTGTTCCTGCATAGAACAATCCTCTTTAAAAAAAAAATCTGATGTATAATTAATTATTTTTTAATTGACACGTATTGATTGTACATATTTATGGGATACAAAGTTATTTCAATATGTGTATACAAGATGTGATGATCAAATCAGGGTAATTAGCATATTTATCATCACAAATATTTATCATTCTTGGTGATGAAAGCATTTGAGCTCCTGTCTTCTAGTCATTTGAGAACATACAATAATTATTGTTATAGAATGGTCCTCTTTTGACACCACCTTATATTCTAGCTAATATCCACTTTATCGTCTCCCCTTCTCACTCTGGCTTCTTTTTTTTTTTTTTCCTTTTTTTTGTCTTTTTTCGTGACCGGCAACGGATCGCAACCCTCAGTGTCGCGCCCGTACCGGACCGGGACCGGCAACGGGATCGCAACTCTCAGTGCTGCGCCCACACCTCGCTCAGCCAGTGAGCGGCCAGTCTGTATGTGGGATCTGAACCCTCAGCGGGAGCGCCGCTGCACTCCCAAGCAGCGCACTGTAGCAGTGCGCCACCGGGCCGGCCCCTCACTCTGGCTTCTTATAAAAGTGCTGTACACTCACTAGTTCTACTTTTTTTTTTTTAACCTCCTGTTGCCCACTCAATGACATACAAACTGATTTTTTAAAAAAATTAATATTATTTTTTTACTTTCTGTGATGTTGTTGCAGAGCAGTTGGGAGGGAGGGAGGGAGGGAGGAAAGGGGAAGGAAATGGGATGGAAGGAGTTGAGGAAGGAGGAGGGGCAGGATTGAGGCCTGTGGCACCCCCCTCATTCCCACAGGGGAGACCAGGGGGCTTCCAGTAGTGGCTTGGTCATTGCTGGGTTGAGTGTGGATGTCAGGGGTGTGTGGCCAAAGCCATTGCCCCCACCACTCCAGCTCAGGAACCTGGGGCCCTTCTTGCTGTGGTTTGGGTGGTTGTCCCTGGGCTGTTTGCACATGTTGGGGGGCATGGCCAAGAAGCTCAGGCCCCCCCCCCACCTCTGCTCAGGAGAGCCCAGGGCACTTCCTGCAGCAGCTCAAACTGATTGTTCTAACCATCCCCTCACCCACATCACTTTTCTCATTAATAGAATTACCAACCTCCTTGTTGCTAAATCCACTGGATATTTCCCAGGTCTCATCTTAGCTAAGAAGAAATTTTTAGATAAATAGGCATCAACAAATGTCAATAACAATGAGGCATGCAGTCTCCCAGAGGCATGCCAGCATTAGGTCACACAAGCTAGATCATTCTCAGTCCCCTGACCAACAGAAATGTTTTACCACATCCTCAATAAGAGGAGCCATTGATCATGTCTCACAGGATAATGAAGAAATGCAAGTAGTCTCATTAGAGACTGTTAGGCTGCCTATCCCTGAAAAGAGATGTGAAAAAAATCACTTGTTCAAGCTGGTCTGTGAACCAAAAGCCCTGTGCATCCACATATACAGCTGCATAATGAAATATGGAAGTTTTCTTAAATTATCAATTATTTTTTCTAGTTGGGGGTCTGTGACTAGAGACATAATAGGAGGCAGTGTGTATCCTACAGATGGCAGAATGTGTACCTGTGGGAAAGAATAGCTCTGCTCTCTGCTACAGGTGCCTACGTTGGCAATTCAGCTGAAAGGAGGGTTTTTCAATTTCTTCCTTTAGTTTCCTACTCCCCAGGTTCAGGGGTGTGGAGAGCTGTAGAAATATATTACCCACCATCAGGGAAAGTGCCAGGAGTTCTTGACAAAATGTCTTAATTATCAGCCTCTGCTCATGGAATCTGAGCACTGTCAGACCAAAATTCTGGTCCAAGGTCTCAGGGAGGCTGAAATAAAAATAAGGTTTGCTACCTAAGATAATGTAGAGCACTAAAAACAAGAAGGATAGCCAAGTCACAGTCAACTTGAATAGGCTGTAGTTTAAATGACAGAAAACCAAGTCCAAATGATGAAGGTGCCAAAGCAAAGAATCAGTGTGGAAACTAGATAGATGGGGTAGGTTAGCCTGGCTTAATGGACCAGAGTGGAAAATACTTAATTTAGTG